CCTAACTCTTTAAGAATGAGTATTCGAATTCTTGAAGAGTTGTATGAATATAAATATGTAATAGAAACTATGAAAATTATAATCGATTGGCCATATATATGTAGTGTTTTTTTTTTTTTTTTTTTTTTTTTTTGCTTTTGAGGAATAAATTTTGAGAAATCCCTCATTACTGTTATATAAAAAATAGAAATAAAATTTAGAATTTCTTTTTGTAAACTATTTGATCAAAATTAATTTTTGATGTGAACCACAAAGTCACTGTAGTTGTTGGATGACAAAAATCATAATGTCAATTGTCTTTAGAAAATTAAATTTTTTGACAAAATTAACAGTGTCAAAAAATTCAAATTCATCAAATGTGGGTTGATCATAATTTTTAGTCATGTTTGGCTTAAAGTCATACCCCCTAATTGGATTTTGATCATCATCATTTTGTGATGTTTTTTCATCAAATTTAGCCATATTTGGCTTAAAACCATGCCCTCCAATTAGATTTTCATCACCATTTTGTGATAGTTGTTTATCAAATTTAACCATGTTTGGCTTAAAATCATACTCTCCAATTGAATGTTCACCATCATTTTGTAATGGTTGTTTAACATTCTTTTTCATATTTGACTGAAAATCATATCCTCCAATTGCATTAAAATGCTCAATAGCTTTTGGCAAAAGAAGTTGGTCTTCTTTTTCAATTAATGGCTTAAAAAATTGCCCCCCAGGAGGCATGCCATTTTCAGAACTTAATTTGTCCTTGGCCATGATTTTTGTGGAGAAAAAATTTTGCTTGGAAAAAGCCTTTTAGAAAACATAAACTTTGTGCATTTTAAGACTCTCTAGTTTTTTACTCCAATGTTGAATTTCTCCATCAATTTGATAAAATTGACAACTAAGTTGACAATTTTTTTCATCAAAGTAATTTATATCTTTTTGCATAAAATAATGTGGCAGTGATGAAATTATTTAAAAGTTTTGCCAATCAAGAGAATTAATTTCTTCTTGTAGAGTCAAAATTTCACTCTTACGCTGATAAATTTCATCATCACAATGCCGAATAATTTTTTCCATATCGTTTGTCAAGCCATTATGTTGGCAATAGACAGTAGAATTATTGTTATGATATATTGACAATCATTATGCATGGAAGATGAGACATTCCAATAATAATTCATATCCATTGGAACATTGCCACTCCATTAGTAGTTTGCATCCATGGGTGCACAACATGCAAACATGCTACTTGATAGCATAATTTCTTGATATTTTGTTTGTATCATTTTTTTTCTCCAAGTTAGGACGATGTCCCATTGGGTTTGCCAAAAATTGGTAGTAAAATTTTTGTTAGGCTTAGATCGACAGAGTCTTAACCAAATCTCACCAAACAACACAATGAAGAAGCAATTGTGTTGAGATTCTATGCCTTGAAAGTTCAAGGACTTCCTTTAGAGTAAAAATAATGGCAATACAAACAAGAAAAATAGAAAGAGAGTATAAGATGATGATGTAAATAATTGAATGAACAATCAAATACAAGTAAAGTGTATTAAGACTACTCATATATAAGTTTAAACTACTCCTATGTAAATTATATCTACTCCTAGGATAGAAAAGAAATGAAAATCAAGTCATGTATTGATTTGTTGGTGATCTTTACAATAGAGCCATCAATGGCAATTTATACAAAAAAAAAAATGTAGGAAAAAACTTCTATTAACCATCATCTAACCACCCATATAACTTCCACCTTCTTATATTGCCACTTGTCCTCTATTCCTCGAATCTTCAAAACTTAACTTACCTTCTCTTAATTTTCAAGATTTTCCTATATAATTGAGAGGGTAATTTTTGGTAAAAATTGGGCCGAGCTACGAGATAGGCATTGTGGCCCAAAATGCCAAGGACGGGGTAAAAAGGCCGAAATGTTACTCCGGCCCAAGAGAGATAAAAGTTACTCCGGCCCAAGTAGTTAAATTTACTCCGGTTCAAGAATGATAGATTTACTCCGGCTCTGAGGAGATGTTGACTTACTTCGGTCAAAAGAGATGAAGTTACTTCGGCTAAGGAATTGTAAAGCTGCTTCGGTTTGGACAACCTGAGTTAGTCCGGTCTCAAAAGGTAGTCCGGTCATGATGAAATCGGGGTAGGTCGGTCGGAATGTTGCTATTCAGTAGATTGGTCCAAACACACCACGGCTCGTGTATGAGAGAACCGAGATATAGTGTAGCATAAAGAAGAACCAAACTACTATTAGTACGGCCTACTTTGTGGCTCGGCATAGCCAGTTTTACTTCGGTCAAATTGAAGTTCGGCCTTGGAGAGAACCATCCCACTTGGTTTAAGCAGTGGGGGAGGGTGTAAAAGGATAAGCATTATCCTTAGGAGTATGAATCCTAAGAGGACTCTGCATAGAGAAATCCAAGTCCTACTAGGATTGTGCCACGGGAAACTTATAAAAACTCACAAGCATCACCTTGGAGGAGGTAATTGAACACAACTCTTTCTGAGAACATAAAACTTTGTCTATTTGTCAAGCTTACTGACTTAGGCATCGGAGAGGTTTCCGGCACACACCCGCCGGCTAGCTCACGTTTGTGTTTTCAGGTGATAAAGCGACGTCGTACGGAGGAGCGTGGACTTGGTCAACAGGATTATACGAGAAGGTTTATTTCTTTCCCGAACAATTGGCGTCGTCTGTGGGAAAATAATAGACAGGACAAAACCTCTTGATCAAGCTTTACCTCTTTAGGAACAATGGTGCACAATGAAGAATTACCACAGTCCGCCATCGACGGGCAAACACCAGATGGGGGTGCAAGGCGTGAAGGATTACCTTCTATCCCTCCCATGGCGAACTTGGAGCCCCAACGACATAGCTCCAGGAGAGATACTAGGGGGAGGCGGACTAACAGCCCCCATCACTCTCATTCACAAAGTCCTGACAGGCAAAGGCGGAGGATTGATCCTCAAGTTCTGGAGGACCGCGTGAAGGAGCAAGACGAATTAATAAGGAAGATGGCGGCGGACATGGAGGCCTTGAAGCGCCAGATGAAGGGAAAAGGAGTGGCGACAGGAGAGAGGCGCAAAAACAAGACGCCCCCTCGCCGCTCAGAAGACCATGGAAGGCATTCCACACCATCACAAGCAGAGAGTAGAAGCCTCAGGACAGGCGATACTCAATCATGGTCTTCCAAAACTCGTCACTCTAGGCCTGAGAGGACGAGATCTGAAAGGTCATACACTGAAGGAAGCACATATTGGCCCTCACATTCGCACCAAACCAGATCTAGACAGACAGAATTACCCAGATCATCCGATTTACGAACCGTGCTCGAAGAAAAAGCACAATGCAAGGAGGATGCCAGGGCAAGGGATCCACATAGAGTTTCAGCCTTACAGCGGTTGGCTCCTCGGACGCATGGAAGCGTCGAGGTTGGAATGCCAATACCGCGACCGGCCTACGAACCAACGGACAAAGCATTGGCAAGACTACAGACTTCGCCGTTTGTTCCAGCAATCGAAAACGCGCCCCTACCATCATACTCTTTTCTTGATAAATCGAACATTTTCTTCCCTCCCTCTCTCTCTCTCTCTCTCTCTTTCTCTCCCATCTGAAGAAGGCGCTCATCTGAAAAAAGCTCTCATTTTCACCTCCAATTGAAGACATCTTAGAAGAGTTGAATTCGAGGTATTGTTCTTTCACCTATGAAGGCTGTCTTCGGCTTTACTGGGGAGTTTACCTCGGCTTCAACATTCTGCTGCCTCCTTTTGAGGTAGTCCCTCAGGTCTTCTTTGCTCCTTCCTGGAGCTCGGCTGTCTATGGATTTTAGTCTTTTTGGTACACTGCTTTCGTCCTCGTGGTGGGCCCGTTTGGATCTTTCTCCATGGGTTGTGTCAAAGCAGAGTGCTTGCCTTTGAACATGTCAATGTTCTTTGGGCTCTGGATTCTTCATGTGGTGCGTCCTTCGGGACTCTTCTTGCCTCGGTTCTTCTCGTCCGACTTCCCTAGAAGGCCGGTGAGAATGCCTTCCGCTCCTGATATGCTGAGGGACGTCGGGGATTGTTTTTCTTTCGCCCTTTTGGGTGTTGGTTGCTGGCATCGGCGTATCTTGCAGCGGGTATGGTGGCTGCATAACATTATTCTGCATCATGAAGTTGACGACTGACTGAAGGTCTGCTAGCTTGTTCGCCAATTCTTTTACTTCCTCATCCCTCCGTAGGCATCTGTCCCTCCATACCTGGAGGTTATCTTCATTGCAGTACTTTCCTTGGTCTGTTCTTTTTGATGTGTCGCCTTCCTGGATGACGTCTTTCTCTCTGTGACCCTAGTCACGGGCTTCTGTATTGTGGTTGTCTCCTTCAATGTCAAGGTCAATTGGTCTGCCACTCCCAGCGGGTGCGTCATCCCCAATATTTTCCTGCTGTCCGTTACTGGCCATCTATTCTTCCTTCGTTCCCACAGACGGCGCCAAATTGTGTGGGTGAAAATCTGACCACACTACCTGCTTAGTAACCAACTGGAGAGCACAGGCAGAATAGATGGCTTCAGTAACCTGTGACAGAAAGAAAAGGCTCCGGCGGTGGTTCTTCCACCCGGGGGCACTCCGACAATCAAGTCAGTATATCTCTCAAAGATAATCAAGTGCAAAACTTAATACTCAAAACATAAATTGCATACCTTAGACCCACGGGGGTGCCTCTCTTTTATAATATACTCAATCCAAGTCCTACTAGAAGTATGACTTCTATGAACTCCAATTTAGTGCTTACTTTGGACTCTTTAAGAGATAAAGATAAGCTCCCTAAGAGCTTTATCCTTATCTTGGTTAAGTCCCCTCTTCGTCTTAGGACTCTTGTCCTTTATTCACTTATCTCGGATTCCGATATCTTCGAAGATAATCTCGGCTTCTCTGAGGTCATCTCGGCCTAACTACCACGACACGTGGCACCTCGGCTGACACGTCGGCGTCACCATGCCACGTGTTGGTATTCAGAAAATATATCCCCACATCTACAAAGCTTAGTGTCTCTGGAAAAGGAAAAGGTTTGGCACCATGCTGCTACCCATAGAACTCACAACCCAAGTGCTTTATTGCACTCATTTCTTTAATGTAAAGGTCTTTAAGCAAGGGTAGTTGTCCAAGTGGTGGCAAAGATGTGCAATATTTATTACCTTTTAACCACATGAACACCATTTTAGAGAATTAAACATCTCCAACCCAGTTTGGAAATTTTGTACTGCCATAACCACGAATGGTGAGTCGTTCCAACAATTTGAAAGGTCTCATCATGTCAAGCACATTCCTCTCAATTATGTCATTCTGTGAACTATGAGATTCATCCCATTCTGGTGATAACTTTTTTAACTCTGGACAAGAGTAAGATTGAACTAAAAACTTAGATTTAGATATTTGTCTCATGAGTAACTCTCACTCTTTTACCTTTTTCTCTCCAAATGTTGAAATCTCTCCTCTATTTGGGCCTCTCGTGTTGAAAGGTCTTGTTCATACACCTTCTTAACAGCGACATATTGACCACATGGTGCTTCTCTTAGCGCCATGATCAGGACTCGAGCCCACTTTTTGATACTAACTGATGCAGGGAAGCGTACTGGAAAGAAGAGCAAACAACAAGATCAAACCACAAACAAATTTGAATTAGAGATACTCTCCCTAAGAACGAATAATATTGAAAAAACTCTCTTTTTATTAATCAAATATCAACTTCAACTCCCAGAACCATGAGTTTGACAACTTTATTTATAGTTAACTTGCTTCTTGGAGAATAAGAAACTAATAAAATAGGAAATAAAAATCAAAACTAATGGAATCGAAAAATTGTATCAAATCAAATTAAGAAACTAAATAAATCTATACTATTCTATACTAAATTAAATATGCCTAACTAAATATTAATTTTATAATATAAAATTAAAATATATAATATTTTTAAATCTCAATCTGCAATAGATTATGAGGTATTATTGTCTAATAATAAAACCACCATATGGATATTTGAGTATGCAAATGTAGTCGTTATTAAATTGTGTTGGATGATAGTTACATTTAAATAGTTATGTTCACCCATATAATACTGCGTATTAATAATAATATATTTTTTGAATAGCGTATTAATAATAATATGATATTACCAATTATGATGCTCCAAAAATTGGGAATATCAAGGAAGATATTAACAAATAAATATTGGATTTTTCTAAAATTACAAATCCAAAAATAAATAATGATACATCAATGTTAAATGTATTATAGACAATGTTGCCTTAATTTTACAAATTATAAGCACAAATAGAATTTCAATAGCAAGTTGAGAAATCCAATGTTGGTCCACGTCTGTTGCAACCTCTCGAGCATTTCCACAAAATCTTCTTTGTTGGTGAATTCTTCCAAAATTTAGCATTAATGGCAATGCAACAAAAATAGCCATGAGTTGTGATGTCCAGTAAGAACACACAGACCCCAACCGATCAATCTTGGATGAAAAAAAAAACAAAGATGACTTGTGATAATAGCCCTCGAACCTCCATGTGGCCGAAACGAACAATTTCCCCATGCCAAATATGACTTGTGACAACTGACGGAATGTTATTCGGACCTATAGGCTGGGATTTAGAGACGAATACGCCCAAAATTTAGTCGAAAAATGGCGTTTCGGGGGCGAAAATTTAAAACAGCCCCCGAACCTTTGTTTGGCCGACACGGGTAGCTTCCCCATGCCAAATAGGACTCGTGACAACTAATGGAATGCTATTCGGTCTTATAGGTTGGGATTTAGAGCCGAATACGCCCAAAACTTAGTTGAAAAAGGACGTTTCGGGGGCGAAAATTCAAAACTGCCCCCGAACCTCTATGTGGCCGAAACAAACAGTTTCCCCATGCCAAATAGGACTTGTGACAACTAACGGAATGTTATTCGAACTTATAGTTTGGGATTTAGACCCGAATACGCCCAAAACTTAGTCGAAAAAGGGCATTTCAGGGGCGAAAATTCAAAATAGCCCTCGAACCTCCATGTGGTCGAAACGAACAGTTTCCCCACGCCAAATATGACTTGTGAAAACTGACGGAATATTATTCGAACCTATAGGTTAGGGGTTTAGAGACGAATACGCCCAAAATTTAGTCGAAAAAGGGCGTTTCGGGGGCAAAAATTCAAAACAGTCCCCGAACCTCTGTGTGTCCGACACGGGCAGCTTCCCCATGCAAAATAGAACTTGTGACAACTGACGGAATGTTATTCAGACCTATAGGTTGGGATTTAGAGACGAATACGCCCAAAACTTAGTCGAAAAAGGGCGTTTCGGGGGCGAAAATTCAAAACAGCCCTCGAACCTTCGTTTGGCTGACACGGGCAGCTTCTCCATGCCAAATAGGACTTGTGACAACTAACGGAATGTTATTTGGACCCGTAGGTTGGGATTTAGAGACGAATACGCCCAAAACTTAGTCCAAAAAGGGCGTTTCGGGGGGCGAAAATTCAAAACGACCCCCGAACCTCCGTGTGCCTAACACGGGCAGCTTCCCCATGCCAAATAGGACTTATGACCACTGACGGAATGTTATTCAGACCCGTAGGTTGGGATTTAGAGACGAATATGCCCAAAACTTAGTCGAAAAGGGCGTTTCGGGGGCGAAAATTCAAAACAGCCCTCGAACCTTCGTTTGGCCGACACGGGCAGCTTCTCCATGCCAAATAGGACTTGTGACAACTAACGAAATGTTATTCGGACCTATAGGTTGGGATTTAGAGCCGAATACGCCCAAAACTTAGTCAAAAAAGGGCATTTCGGAGGCGAAAATTCAAAACAGCCCCTGAACCTCCGTGTGACCGACACGGGCAGCTTCCCCATGCCAAATAGGACTTGTGACAACTGACGGAATGTTATTCGAACCTGTAGGTTGGGATTTAGAGACGAATACGCCCAAAACTTAGTCGAAAAAGGGCGTTTCGGGGGCGAAAATTCAAAACAGCCCCTGAACCTCTGTTTGGCCGACACGGGCAGCTTCTCTATGCCAAATAGGACTTATGACAACTGACGGAATGTTATTCGGACCCGTAGGTTGGGATTTAGAGACGAATACGCCCAAAACTTAGTCGAAAAAGGGTGTTTCGGGGGCGAAACTTCAAAACATCCCCCGAACCTCCGTCTGACTCTCACGGGCAGCTTTCCCATTACAAATAGGACTTGTGACAACTTGTGACAACTGACGGAATGTTTTAAACTTGCTAATTTTGTGAACATACACACGTGTGTTATTATTTTTATCACATGTTCTAATATCCTCTCTGAAATGGCACTGACATACATTAATAAACACCGATGGTTTTATATCTAATCTAATGATTCAAGTGCCTTTTGCAAACAAATAATGAGGAAGTTGGTAAAAAGAATACTTTCTATTCACATTGGGCTTTGATATTAGTTTAGCCACAGAATTTAGATACATGTTGCATACAAATAGAAGATTGTTACATTAGTTGTGTGTTACTAATGAAAAATTTAGTAATGATTGTTCTGCATTTAACAATGTTCCTTATAACAAAAGACTTTAGAAAGACTGTACAATGACTGATAATTGATTCATCATGGAAAGTTGCTTCTCACTTATTTTTATTTATCACTTGTTCCCAAATTCATTCATGAAGTTGGGCATTTTTGGGTCCAATTCTAATGTTTTTTTTTTATTTTTTGTAGATGACTTCATTGCGTGGACTTGCAGAGATATTTTGGTGTATGGAGAAGAAATTGTACTTTTGTATAGAAGTAATATAATACTTTTGTCGTCTGTGCAATTAACTATTCCTGATACAGAAAACTATTGGCAGAGAACAGATAATTATTGGCATGGTAGATAGATTACCTTTTGACACCGTCCACTAAATTGATTTTTTGTCGTGGTACATAGATGTATTTTTGGCTTGGTACATACATCACCTTTTGTCGTGGTACAGATTACGATGGTAATTTGTACCATGCCAAATGGTCATTTCACATGGTATAGTAAATGTAATTTTTGTGTATGGAGGGCTTTACTTTTTGTATGATTATATATGTTGTATGGAATTATTATTTTAGTTTGGATAATAGTTCGTTTGTATGTACTTGGACAGTTAAAGTAATTTATTTTTTGTATACGGATGCAGATTGTGGAATGATTGATAATTTATGTATCATTTTATTTATATACGTATTACAGGTTGAATGGAATACAAACAGGTTATTGACACATTATAATATTAACAATAAAACATAATATTATGTTTTTGCCGACTAAACGTTTTGTAGCCAATATAAAGGGGAAAAAAAAAACATTTGGCTACTAAAAGTTTTGTGGCCAAAAGAAAATCAAACATTTGGGTACTAAATTTTTTGTAGGCAAAAGAAAAACAACCATTTGGCTACTAAATGTTTTGTAGCCAAAAGAAAATCAAACCTTTGGCTACTAAAAGTTTTGTAGCAAAAAAAAAAATCAAACATTTGGCGACTAAAATATTTTGTAGCTAAAAACAAAAGTTGAAGAATAAATGTGACTTTTGGCGACTAAAAATTTAGTAGCCAAAAATGTCGTAGTTTAGGCGACTAAATTTTTAGTAGCAAAAAATGTTGAAGTTTAGGCAACTAAATTTTTAGTAGCCAAAAGAAATAGTATTTGGCGACTAAAATTTTAGTAGCCAAAAAAGATTGACTTTAGGCGACTAAAACTTTAGTAGCCAAAACACTAGTATTTGCTTTTGCCGACTAAAAAATTTAGTAGCTAAAAATTTTTCGGCCACTAAATAATTGGCTTTTGGCGACAAAAAAATTGGTCGGCAAAAATGTATTTATTTAATTAATTTTCAAACCTATTGGTGACTAAATTAGGTTTAGTCGGCAATTATATTTCCCGACTACTCTTTGGCTACTAATTTCCTGACCAAAAAATTTAGTCGCTAAAGACTATAGGCGACTAAAATATGACTTTTGGCGACTAAAAATTTAGTCGCCAAAAGTGAAAATTCTTGTAGTGTATAAACAATACAAACAAGTAGAAGTACAACATATAATTTGCATAAATAAAAAATTACAGAGAATTACGAATAGTTATATCAATGCACAGTCACAAACAATAGCTAGAAATAACAGCGATAAGTTATAGTTGGTTATTAACACTTAATAGTTGGTAGCAACAGTGAGATCAAGGCCAATAGAGTCCCCTAAAGAGACTTGTCCTCCCAACCACTAAGATTGGGCATTGGACTATTTGAAACTCCCTCCTTTTGTTGCTTTGCAAATCTTACCATGGATATCTGCTACGATTATATATCGCGCAGCGCTATTGGTGGACCTCAAAAGAGGCAACCAAAAGAAAAATGTTTTATCATCTTGAACCCAATCTTATCCCTCCAAAGCAGAAAAAAGAAGAAGAAGAAGGTTTTATCTTCCTGAATATTTCATCTGGACCCAACTTTATCTCACTAAATCAAAGCACCACATAGAGTCTGAATATGTCCGTTCCATCGTAGGGTACAGTGATGCACCACACACTAAGCTTGGCTATAGACAAACCGCATAACCCGTTGGCCATAAGAATTCTCATTTGTGTTATGCAAGACCAACACATGGTTGACATTAAGGATCGTGTTCTAAACCTAAGCCAACTTGAGTGTCATGACACGACTTGCGCAAGACTTAACTCAAAGGAAACACGTCCCACCATATCTCATTACAGTGCCAACACTTGCAAGTTACAATTATCTTTTCAATTCATTACACACTACAACATATAAAAGTTTTAGAGATCAAATTTTTTGGTTTCTAAAAGTGAATTTTGTTACAAAAGACATTTAGGGACCAATTTCTATCGTCGTGAGGATAGTCGCTAAAAGGTCGTCCCGAAAAGTAAAAAAATAAGGCTTTTAGCGACAAAGTTTTGAAATGTCACTAATAAATACATTTTTTTTTAGACAAAAAATTTGGTCCCAAAAAGATAATAATTCATCACTAATATCCAATTTTCGATGCTAAAAATATAATAACGACACTTTTCGCAATAAAAATATTTTATCTCTAAAAACTAATTTTATCCCTAAATTTTGGTCTCTAAATTTTTAATTTTTTGTAGTGACAACTGAGTGCAACCCATTACCACCGCAGTGTTCGTTTGTTAAGTACATTATGAAACAAGTTAGCCACATTCAATAGCACAAAATGATCATGCGTCAAGTATACGAGAGAAAATATAACACACAATGATGCTCACAAAACATGGTAAAGCAAGAAACAACACTAGACAAGCTATTAAAAACACTTAGCAATAAACAAAACCTAAGAACATAACTTCCCGCAATTTTTCAGAATAGCATAGGCAAAAGAATAATTTGTTAAAAGTATTTCCGGGTTCTTTAGGGACTGAAATTCAACAGAATTATAAAACAACAAGTCTACTTTCATCTCCAATTTGTAGAATTAGCATACCACAACCAGAATTCAATATTTATGCAAATTGCCAAACTCAGTCCAGATTTTGACACCTTTTAAGAAAAATGGATTTTCTCTGAATCTACTCAATAACTTTTCTCAAATAAATTTTTTTGAAAAGAGGACTCAAAATGCTAAATTTCGACATAAGAATCAACATGAGATGAGTTTTCTGGAATTTCATAAAAATGTGAAAAGTGGACTATTTTTCAGAAACTTTTTGTCAAGAACTTTGAAAAATTGTTTGGGCTATCAAAACACTTATTTAAACTCTACCAAAATTTCCACATGCTCTACACACTCCAAATAATATCCCATATAAACAGATTTTTAGTTCATGAAGGTTTAATTTAAAAAGAAATTCAAGAGCTTATAAACTAGTTTACCAATTAAAGAAGAAAGCAAGCTCAAAACACAATTCTTAAGCAATGCATTATCCAACTATCATACCAACACATTGTTGGACAATCTTCACTGTATTTAAATAGATTAAATTCTGTTGTGTACAAAACAACAACAAGAATCCCTCTAAAACACTTGGATACTCCTTGGGGCACACCCCAAGTGCCAAACCCAAGCCTTATAAACCCTTTCTAAACTTCCCACCAAATCAATGTGGGACAAGCCAATTTACAACCTTAAGGAATTTTCACCAAAACTCCATTTCCATGGAGCACACTTTGGCTTCAATTTCCCATTCATTCGGTAATGGTTTTGAGTAACCAAATATGCCACGTGAATCACAACGCGGCATAGAACGCGTTACCACTTTGACCCGAGTAAATCGACACTCGGGGCCCACCTAAAAAATAGACCAAACTTAGGAAAAAATTCTGGTTTTATCCCCATTTCCAACACACATAAATTCATATAATATACATATGATATTATCTACAAGTAGTCAAAATAAAAAATAAGTGTTAGAGAAAATAGGAGAGGAGGGTGTATCTTACAATGCTAGTAGAAGCTTTTCTTTCTTTCTTCTCTGTTCTTCCTTAGCCTTATTCATGTCAAACCAGCGCCCCTCCCTCCCCCCGGGCACACTCTCACTCTTAGTTCAGCAGAATAACAATGGAAATAGAGGGGGATTACTCATATTTGTAGGAAAAATGTGGTGAATTGACCATTTTGACCTTGGTTGGTCTTGAATGGAATTGGTTTATATTTAGTTGAATTGTAATGGAATGGAAAGTTATTAGGGGGTTTAAATAGGGTTTAATTAATCCAAGCTTGGTTGAGATGGAATTTGATGGATGTGTGGGTATAAACATGTTCCCCGAATTCAAGGATTTGTGAAGACTTTTGTGCATTTTTTTAATTATTCTTGTTTCTCTTTCTTTTCTTTTCTTTTCTTTCCTTTCCTTTCCTTTTTTTTTCTTTTTTTTCTTTTTTTACTTAATTTCCTTTGGCCCAAGTCAAGCCACATGGCCAGTCACTCCCCTCTCCTTTCTAGGTACAAAATGTATATTTTTATGTATAGATAAATTAGTACAGAAGAAATGAATAAAAGAAATTGGAGAAAACAAGCATATATATATAATAAATTCCAAAGGGATCAATTCCTACTAAAAAATTATATATTCAAAAGTAAGGGATCAATTTCTACTAAAAAATTATATAATCCGGCCCCTTGGACTAAATCGCAAAGTTTAATAAGAAATTAATGAGAAAATTATGATTTTAAATATAATTTCTAAAAATTGAGGTCTCTGCACTATTACACTAAAAAATTTACTCGAATTTTAAAATTGTCCAAATCGCTCAAAAAATTACGTAATACAATATAGGTATAGAAACATTGTCGAAGTTTAGTGGGTTCAATTAAATGCACCGGTTTCCGCATAGCTTTGAGGTGATCCTATTTATACCCAAATAGTAACTTGTCTAACTAAAACTTTGAAATTTAGTTCCTATTATATCTTAATGTAAATTTACTAATAATGACACTACACATTAAATCCTAAAATATTTTCTTATGATACACCTTAATCACTTATATTTATTTTTCATATTCAAGTCTCCTTATCTTCTTTATCAAGTTTTAGTTCTTTTTCTCTTCAGCTTCTTCCGTACTCCAAAATTCCAATCCACTCCACCAAAACTTATCATTATCATAAACATTATTGTTTTTTATTGTGTTGTTACTTGCAAATAAAAGAAAAAAGAAAGTTAGAACAAAATTAAACAATAAATAAGAATAATAATCACATATATTTTTTGAAACGAATTCATCAAACATGAGGTAAGCATTCATGTAGATATCAACCAAACCATGGCCGAACAACCATTGCGAACAAAGGCCAAACAATGTGTTCAATATAATTGTACGGGCACGAAATATTCTTTCTGTATAATCCTGTTGATCAAGTCTGTATTCCTCCGTACGTCGCCGCTTTATTCCCTGAAAACACAAATGTGAGCTAGCCGGCGGGTGCGTGCCGGATACCTCTCCGATGCCTAAGTCAGCAAAATAGACAAATAGGCAAAAAGCTCTGCGTATTCGAGAATCAAAGTTGTGTTACCTCTCTATAGGTGATGTTTGTGAGCTTTTATAGGTTTCGTGTGGCATAATCCTAGTAGGACTTTTACTCCTCCATGTAGAGTCCTTCTAGGATTCATACTCCTGAAAGATAATGCTTATCCTTTAACACCCTCCCTTACTGCTTAAACCAAGTAGGATGGTTCTACCATAGTCGGATTCTAGTAGGACCGAAGTAATCAAGGCTATGTTGAGCCTCAGAGTATGCCGAACTATATTTAGCTCGGTTCTTCTTTTCACTACTTATCCTGGTTTCTCATGTACAAAGAATGACGTGATTAGACCGAGCTACCGAATAGTAAGAGTCTGACCGGTCTAACCACAATACGCCATGACCGAGCTAACTCTGAAACCGGACTAACTTCAAAGCGTCTTTAGACCGGCCTAACTCCAAGTTTGGTCGGACTAACTTCAGGGCTCTGGGACCGGACTAACCGTTGCTCTTTTTAGGACCAGACTAATTACCAAGCCTTTTTACTTAGTCTAGCGGCAAGAGCCTTACTTTGGACCGAGCTAATACTTGACCGTGGCCCATCTCCCAAGCCTCTTCATTACAACTCGGCCCAATTTACATATAAATTAGCCTCTCAATTGCCCCTTAATTCCATCTGCATAGCATGATAGGGATTACCTGTTTTACCAGCCGAGCTAAAACTCTTAAGCTTTTCCAGCCGAGCTAAAACCCTTTAACCTATCCAACCGAGCTAATTCCACACCGGGCTCTGCTTGTTCGGTCAAAACGTCTCTTCAATCATAGCAACTGAATCGCTTCTCATTCCTATGACACGTGGCTCATTTTCATTGGCTGAAGGTAGCTGTCACGCCGTCTTCGTACTTCGTGTTTTTTGAACAGTCCTGCCTAAAGTTTGAGTTTTTCACCAAAACAAACCCTAAGGCTCTTGAATCCATTACCTTACTATTCATTTCTCCTTTCTCTCTCCCTTCTGAGCTCTTATTGTTCTTTGATTTGCACTTTGAAGAGGCTACGTGGTTTTGCTGCCGTTTTTCTCATCTTCAGTTTCCTCCTCTTGACCTGGTAAGCTACTCAAATCTGTTCCATTTTTCTTGTTTTTGCCCTTGTTTAATCCATAGCATACTGTTTTGTGTTTTTTGCAAAACACTTTTTTGCTTTACCTTGTGTTTTCTTGAAAAAACATTATAAGAACCACTTGAATTCACGAAACACGTAGAGCGCCGTTTTTTATCCAAAATCCCAACATAACTGAACTAAAAAGTCGTTTGTAGTTGATATCACTCTAGCCAGACCATGCAACCGAACTAACACTTCATGTTATACCAATAGTTTCAACAAGTCAAACCACCTTTTGTTTTAACTCAGCCGAGCTAGAAAACCGTACTAAGTCTGCGTAATAGTGCGTCTGTTAGTCTCAACCATAGCCGAGCTATGACTGGGGCTATACCAACCTTCGTAGTTCAACCGAACTTACGAGTGTTGCCCCTAGAGGCTCAACCGGGCTAACAAAACCTTTGCACGTACTGAGATAACGAGCCCCTTGTGTAAACCGAGATAACCAAATCCTTGCTCAAAACCGGGCTAAGACACGTAGCACTTCACATAGCCGAGCTAAGATTTGATATATCTTGCCTTTATCTCTTTAGCACGGTCCAATGATCTATGCTTAACACCTTCGTTTTTTCACTCTGCAGACTTTAGGTCGCCCAGGCACTCCTTTGAGCGCTCAACCGAGCTACTCAGCCCACTTCTGCGACTGAGCTAATCACAAGCATAATTTATTCATAACTTAAGACAAAATGGGTAAATATAGGTATTTAGTAGAAACACCAGGTGGCCTGGCCGAATTCCGAATGGAGTATAACATTCCTGATGACATCTATCTCACCTTAGCCGAACAAGATATCATACCCTGGGGAAACCCTGGTTTTGTTCCCTTCACCCTGTTTTCCATCGTAGAAACCGGCCTAAGATTCCCTGTACAGCCCTTACTTTGTGAATTCCTTAGGCAAACTAGGATATGCCCAACTCAGCTTTCCACAAACTCATACCGCATAATAAATGGTATAGGCGAGCTAAACCGCCGTGCTAGTATTAACCTCGGCTTAGACGAACTCTTTCACCAATACTCCATAGGCTCAAAAGAAGACGGGTGGGTTTATTATTTAAGAATACGCCGCCGCCGAGAGAAAACAATAAAGGATACACCGGACAAAGACTTGAATGATGATGATTTTTTCTGGGTATCTGGGAATTTTGAAGACCACCAAACCCAGATCCCAGGCCGTAATATAAACTGGAAGAAAGGAACCCCCGGTATATCTACTTCGGCTTCTTTGCAGGCCTCTCTTTATTTCGGTTTCCTGTTCTTGAACCGAACTGACAGTTGTCTTTCTTTATGCAGATTCAGCCCACCTCAAGTCACTGTACAGCTACCCCAATCTAAACATACTTCACGCCGCACTACGATACCCTGAAAGAAGTTGGGCCAAACTGCTGACTTTTGAGCCGACGTATAGATATAGCAGCCGACGAAAATCCAGAGTAACAGATTTTTTGCTAGAGGCCTCTCCTGAACTGGACTCGACCTTGCCACAAATCAACTTAGTCCGTACTACTGCTGAAGAAGAAATGGCGAAGAGGAACAGAGTGAGGGCCCTCCTAACCGAAACACACCCAGCCGAAGTACCACCAACCACCCAGACTCAAGAGACCGTGGTGGCTCTTCCATCTCAACCACCCTCCTCATCCCGCCCCAGCAAGTGTGCCCGGACTACTCAAACCGAGCAACGCCTTGTTGATGAAGATGAAACCACTCTTCCACCGAGCCCTGCACTGAGCCCTCAGCCAGAGCGTTCTGACCGGGCTAGCTCCTCCAAGTGGGCTCCAAAAATGTCTTTCCAAAACCGCGCTATCCGTGATACTAACTCAGTGGTGGTTGACAAAGATCATATGCTAGCCTTCAATCTGGCTAAGAGTGTATGTCTACCCCCTGATATGGAGCATCACAACCAGTTGACCGAGCTCAAGGCCATCTGGTCTGCAACGAAATCAATGATCCTGGTAAGCAGCCCCTCTGGTCTCTCTAATTTTTCCAACTTTTTTGCTCGGTTTTGTCATTAGTTTCTTTCCATTCTTCTTTAGGCCATGCAAAAGAGTCAAATTGCCCACAAGCGTGTATTAGAGCTCTGAAAAACAGCAAGGCAAGCCAAGGCCGAAGTAACTGAAAAAACTGCCAAGCTAGAAGAGGCTAGGAAGCAGCTAGTCGAGCTAAAATCCGAGAATGGACATCTAGCCGGTCTTGTTAGCTCGGCTGAAGTAGAAAAACAAAAAACTGCAGCCGTGATCAAAGACAAATATTTGCGCAAACTTGCTAAACTGGACGGAAAGAAGAAAGCCGAAATTGAGGAGATGAAGAAGAAGCTGGAGAGTGCTGAGACCCGTGGTTTTAAGGAAGGTGAAGCCCTTTATATTAAGCAATGCGAAGCAGCGAAGGACCTCTTCTTCAAGTGCGGTTGG